ATATAAACATATAAGGTAACAGTAACTAATAATCATACCTAAACAATTACTACTATCATTTCATACCACTCTACTTTTACATGTAACAAATATATGCATACATATATGTCATTATCATTCATATCTCTTATCTCATGTTCCTATGATCTCTTATGTCCATATCATATAACATATACCATAACCAATTGCATATATACATATCATGCCATGTAAATTATATATATACTATCATTGATTCCTTTCATCATATGGTCTTATAAGTTATCATTTGTACAATCAATATCACACATGAAATTCCACAAGGAAACAAACATATTATCATATCACTTTATTAATATTATCTATTTAATAGCCCATGATACACATGTGAGAACTAAAGATATGCGAGTACATAGAGGTTGTGCACTAATGCTATCGCCACAGCTCATATATTGCACCGAAGTGCCACATATAATTGCACCGGAGTGCCGTGTAGAATTGCACCGTAGTGCCATATAATAATGTCCATAAGGACCACATATCATTCTTTAAGAATCATATACATATACTAGGGATCAAGTATGTGTCTCACCAGACTTCACACATGTTCCAAAGAATACATATATGTCCCGAATGACCACATATCATTCCTTAATAATCATATACATATGCCAAGGATCAAGTATGTGTCTCACCAGACTTCACACATGTTCCAAAGAATACATATATCCCAAAGGACCACATAGACCCTCGACTCTTGGCATGCCAACTATACCCTAGCTCTCATGACACATAACATGGGCATTATCTTTTATATCCTTCTACATATCATGTAACCATATCATATATTCATATAAGCTCATGGTTTCATTCACATATACATGTAATCACGTAGTTCATGTCAATTCTCATATGAGTTCATATTCATATAAACATAGGATTCACCCTCATGTATCACATATACTTTCTCTTTCATATGGCTCATAACATTTCTCATGTGTTCATATGACATGTAATCATTGTCATCTTATCAAGTTATCACATAAACATATCATCTTACAATATACAAAACACATCAATACCTATATTCACATATACCTATCATTTCATTATCCTTATTATTATTCTTATCATCATCATTAATCCCTTTTACTTACCATATTCATATCAATAACATATATACTCATGCACACATATAAATCATAACAAATACATACTTCTATGAATTCATGTTTTTCACTATTGGAAATAGACTTATCACAAGTCTTATTTTCCCTTAAACCTCATATACTAGAGAATGTGCACTCATCTTAGCCTTGTTTTCTTTGAATCAATCTTAATCCTAGATTGTTCCGGAACAAGCTTTATTCTATATCTACATCATAATAATACATTGATACATATCAATATACTAATTGATATCTTTTAAATTGTCACTTCTTAGGCTAAAAGAAAAGCCCATTTCATCTTTAATGAAGGTATGCATCGATGCACTGCACACTGTATCGATGCATTCCCTATCGGTGCATCGATGTACTACATGTGCATCGGTGCATAAAATACATTTGATGTTTGTTTATTACTGGGATGCATTGATGCATGCCTTATGCATCGATGCACTCTGCCCAGAATCCTCTTTTTAAACCCTAAAATTCATTCTTTTTGGATTAAATCCTTCATATTTCAACCCCTTTCATATTCCTAACTTACATATACATACTTAAACTCATTAATATTCATTTATCTCATCTTTAACCTTAATATCCTCTCCTCTTTAGGAATTTCAAGAATCATACCCTATTTTCCACATGTTTCAAATCCAATTCTAACACTTAATACTTCTTAATTAAGCTGATGACAAGTCAAATTTAGCTTCAAGTTCAACTTATCACTCCATTCTGGAAATTCACTCAAGAACTCCAAATCTTTAATCTTCCCTAACTCATTTATCTTTTAATTTTAAGATAACTTAAGCTTTCCTTAAGCTTAAGTATCACCTAAGAATCATAACCCAACTTTTAATTCAACAAATAACCAACTAATTAAAAAACTCACCTTTGAGCTGGAGCTTCACGCACAAAGAAGAAAGGAGGAGAAGAGAATTCTGGAAACATTGTTTTTGGTTTCCTACACTCCCACGTGTAAAAATATATATCCCCTATCACATTTTTAATTCCTTAAATGATCAAATGACCATTTTACCCTTTAGTTCCTTTAATAATTACTAACAACTTTTAGGAAATACTTCCAAATAAATCACTGAACTAATCCATTCTTCTACTTTAGTCACCAAATTCTGAAACTTTATAATTTGGTCACTAACCCTAGTTTGGGATGTTACACTCTTCTTTGGGTATTTGAATCAAGAACAACACAAAAAAAAAAACAACATGCAAGCTACCAAAATGAGGAAAGGTACGAACTATACCTTTGATTCTTCTTAAAAAAATTCAAGAAAAGTTTAGATTTTGCTCTAATATTTGCTTGAAATTTCTGCTCTTTATTTCGTATGATCTCACTGTGTTACAACGGTGTTGATTTACATGTATTTATAGAACCTAAAATCCTACTTTTAAGTGTTTTAATCCGAAAATAATACTAATATATTTGTTGTGTTTGTTGTGGGTGTCCTTCTGAGTCACGTTTGTTGAAACGTGAGGAAGCTGGTTGCGTGGAGCGAGGGAACCGGTCGCGAGGAGGTGTGCTCCACGAAGGATCCTCAGGTGTTTGGACTCTTGAGTGGCTTGCGGCGTTTGTAGAGAAGGGATGAAACTCTATCTGGCTTGTACTGTGGTCCGTTGGATCACATATCGATCCAACGGATGAGCACTTGGCGGCTGGGACAGCAAAGACCGCTTAGGGTTTGGCCAGCTGATGGGTCACGTATTCGGGCGACTGTTGGGCTATTTTTATTTAATTTGGGTATATAAAATTTATAATATAAATATATATAATAATGTGGAACAAAAATTTAGTGTCTTCACGTTGCCTTGTAATCATTTCGTGGTTCACATTCAACTATTTCACGAGAATAAAAAAAAACCCTTAGTTTGAGTTTACCTGCTCTAGATCTGGTAATCATAGGATAGGACTTGTCGAAGTAGTTTTAGCAGGTTGAGCAGTATTATCTGAGCTATAATGAGAAAAAGTAGTGGCCTAGTAGGAGGAAATACGGTTAAATTTAGAGGCTTGAGATGCTTGTCAGTTGTCACCTAAATCTTTGCTTATGTTGGTTGATCTAATCGATAGAATGAAGTGTGGATCTTAGATTTTTAATGGTCTGATGTTGTATAGCCTTCTTTTGTAGATTGATGGTGAATAATGAATAGCTATCCAATCTATATTTTTTTTTGGATAAATTATTCAATCTATATTTGTTATTTCATCTCAAGACATTTTGACAGACAAGCATATAATTGAAATGATTAGTTATTTCTCCAAATATGCTTTAGTTCTAGGGGAAACTCATAATTCGAACCATGACTTGTGTGAGGACAAACATTTTTTTTTGTGTGTGTGTGAAAAGTGCATATACTATTTTTTTAGTAAGAAAAGAGCATATACTACATTCTTTGGAAACATTGACGCTCGTGTTGGGCCTAATGAGCTTAATTCTAGCCCGAATGTCTGTAACCAAGTTGAAACCCAAAACGTTTAACGGCCAATAATAGCCCGATTTGAACTAAATAATTAGAACCTCCAATGAGTCAACGTAAACCCTAACGAGGAAGTAAATCATACGGTTTCAGCTCGACAGTAATTGGGAGAGAATTACGGGGGAAACCCTGATTCACAGAGGAGAGGAGGAGACCGTACTGAGTTAGGGGTAAACGAAGAGTAAAAGAGCTAAGCATTAAAGTTGAAAGTAATTGCTGAGCAGAAGGATTTGGTGTCGGTAATACGGTAGAAGAAAAGGGGAAGGAAGAAGACAAATCGGTGCAGCTTGAAGTAAGGTGTATGGTTTCAGATGTCTTAGTGACTGATTCTGGAATTTGAAACAGAGATAGTTGTAATTCTAAATATTTCAGTTGGAGGAACTGTGGAAATGAGATTGCAGCATACCCTTGAGTTCCTCCCGAAAACTCCTGGAATTGGGATTTCCTAGTTTATGATTCATGGACAAGCAAGTAGAGTCGGTTGGCGTCTTGGATAGAGTAAGTACTTTGCCCGATCACATTCTTTGTCGTATTTTGTCGCTCCTTCCCATTGAAAACGCAGTTCAAACCTCGATCATCTCACTCAGGTGGAGGTATCTCTGTTCTTCCTCGGTGTATATCATTGATTTTAATCTTTTGTACCCACTTCTCTTTTTAAGCTTAGAGGAAATTATAACAACTTTCTGAATTTTGTAGACAGATTGTTTTCAAACCCAAAGCAGTTAAGTTTAGAATGTTGGGTGCGTTTGATTTTAGTTACGAAGGTCAGTAGAAATAAAAGATTATTAGAGAATAAGATTACTTAGAATATTATATTTTGTATTTAGATAGTTTAGTAGTAATTTAAGATTACTGTGTTTGGTTAAAGGAGTAAAAGATTATTGGAATGTATATTTGACCAAATTGTCCTTATTATATATTTTTATAATATTACAAGTTGAAAAATATTTATATATATATATTTTTTAAAAAAAATTAAATTCATAAAATTTATATAATTTTTTTACAAAATTAAAAATATAAAAATATTTAATGAAATTGTAAAATTTTATTTTAATTCCTGAACTTCATATAAAATTTTAATTATAGATTTTTTTTGTAAATTTAAAATAATTTAAACATAAATTTGTAATTTAACTTTCGTATAATTTTTATTATATAATGACAGAAGAATAATATTTTTGAAAGAAAAAAAATTTAAGGGTATTTTAGTCTAAAACATCGGTAATGTTACAATATCTAAGGAAAATGATGTAATGATATTTTCGGTAATATATTCAAAAAATTCACTATTGATAATAAAATATTACCGAGAATGATTTTCCTGATCAAATCAAACGGGAGTTCTCAAATTCCTCCATCCAAATGCCCTTTAGGGGGAGGGACTATTGGGTGAGGTGGGATGACAGGGAGGAAGGTTATTTACGCCTTAATGGTTGGATATGCGTTGAACTGTGCTGTGGTGTCAAGGAAATTGATATTATGTTTGCATATAAAGATGTTCCCACTTTACGAACTCTTCTGTTTATTTGCCGGTCACTGGTGACATTGACATTGAATATCAGAGGTAACATGAAGGTTCTATCTAGCGCTTGTTTGCCAAATCTGAAGACTCTACACTTCGAATACTCCATATTTCAAGAAGGTTATTCAGTTCTTAGGTTAATTTCCAATTGCAATGTCCTGGAAAATTTGGAATTTATTTATTGCGAGTTTCATGGCATAAGTGAGATCAATATTCATAACCTTTCCCTTAAGAGGTTGGTTTTAGATTTTGGTATGATGCACGTTCGTTCTCTCAAAGGTTACAATGTCATCGAGATTAATACCCCGAATCTTGTTTATTTCAAATATATTGATGCGATGGCTGAAGGCTATACGTTAAGTGACATGAAATCTCTAGAAAGAGCTGATATTGCAATCACTCTATTAGCTAATGTGGATTATGAACGTGCAACAAATCTTCTCAAGAGAATTTGCAATGTACATTCTCTTTGTTTAGACATTAGCGGTCGTTCCAAAACGGTTAGTGAACTTAGCAGTATTAAAGTCATTGTTTTGAATGTCAAAGTCTTTTCTTTTATCATTATATAATAGTTCTTGCTTTTTTGTGTACAGCTTCTTCCGACGCCTCTTGATCCGGTGATTGCTTTTAACAACCTCGTTCGACTGAAATTTCTTAATTACTATAATAATTGTAGACACCCGTTTTTGTCCGGGTTTTTTTTTCCGTTATTTTATTATTATTATTATTATTATTATCGTTATTTTATTATTAATATTACATTTTACATATTTTTTGCAGGCTTAATCCCTAAGCCCAACAGCAGATACAAACTGGAGCCCAAACCCGGTTCAGGCCCAGTACCAAACCCTAACCTTAGAGTATCAGCATCCCAGCGCCGCACCAACATAGACCATTCGATCTGGACCCATCCAACGGTCCAGATCGATGGTAAATAGGGTTTCATAACCCTAAGCCAATCCAGCCGTCGTCGCCTTTTAGCCTCTCAGCCGAGTGAGTGCCGCCGACGATCCCAAGCCACCGCCGTGGTCATCCAGCTTCCAAACAGTGACTGAACGTCATCCACAGTGCCCAAATCAGTAAAAAATATATATGTATCCAAACCCTAAAATATAAAATACCTAAATCCCGGTAAATCGGGAAATTGGTCACCCTAAATCAACAACCCATAATTTCCCCTATTCCTAGACATCATCATCTCACCAAACGAAGCAAAAATGAACCATAAATCAAGCAAGATATCAGAGTCAAGGGGGGGGGATTCGAAAAAAAACGGAAAGAAGAACGAGAGACCATTCGGTTCAAAAAAAAAAAGAAAAAAAGAAAGAGAAAACATAAAAGAAAACAGAAGATAGGAAAAAGAGGAGAGTAGAGACCATACCTTGGTCGAGCACCGATGAAAACCGGTCGCCGGAGATGGAGAAACCGAAAGGTTTCTCCCCTAATCCACTGCGATTGAGCCACTTTTAGGCCAAACGGAGGCCAGATCCTTGCTCAGGGTCTGGAGACGCTTTGAATAGTGTCGTTTTCTCTCCCTTCGGCGCCGGCGTACGGCGGCGGCCGCCGGTCAGTGGCGGCCGGCACGGCGGAATCTCGCCGTTTCCAGAGAGATTTCTAGATATCTCTCTCACTCTCTCCTCTTCTCTCTCTTTCCCTTTCTCATGCTGAAGGGAAAATGAAACAGATGGCCGGTTCAAGGAGATATTTGGGCTATTTATAGCTTGTGGGAAACGGCGTCGTTTTGAGGGGACGAGTTCTGTAATTTCACGCATGGGGTAACTACGCTTTTGGTCCCTGATGCTTTGTAACCGTATTATTTAGCCATTAAATGAAGTTTCATTTATTTGATTTCAGATTCTGATGTTTCCTTATTTATATTTTAGTCCTTTATTATTTGTTAAGTTATTTTTGTTAATATTTGACATTGGTCACTATATTTGTGAATATTTATTTTAGCCATTGGCTTGTGTATGGCTTAATTCCTATTTAGTCTTTTAGGTTTCAGTTTTTCTATTTGGGTCTCCTTTTTATTTCTTGTTATATTTTCGTCCTAACATATGTGTTGATGTTTATGACAATTTTTATATATCAAGCCTGGAATTTGTGAAATGTTTATTTCAGTCCTTAAATTTTCTGTAATGTTAGTTTGGTTTTATGCCTATTCAAGTTTATTGATTTGTGATTAATTTTATTTTGATCATTGTATGTGTATTAATGGAATTTATTAACATTTATGTTTTAGTCTTTAAACTGGGTTGCCTTCTATTTTAGTCCATCTTTGTTCTTAGTTTTTATTTTCGGTGAGGTTTATGATTCTGGTCATCTGTTTTGTATCCTTTTCATTTCGGTCCTTTATGTTGGCTTGTGGGTTCGATTGGGATTAATATTTGATTTAGGCTTAAATTTTCTTTTAGGTTCATTTTAGTCACTATCCTAGGTATTATAACATTTTTGGTTTATATTTGGTTCTGGTTTCCATATTTTAAATGTTACATCTTAGCCACTGATTTAATATTTCATGTATGTTCTTTGATATTCGAATCTGGCCATCCCATTTTTAAATATTTTATTTTAGTCCTATTAATGTATGTTATGTCATTTTTGTGAATATTTGACTTTTAGACATTATGTTTGTAATAGTTTCAGTCTAGTCCTAAGTTCTTGTATTGTGATATTTTGTGGATGTTTGAATTCAGCCATCATACTTGCAAATGTTCTATTTTGGTCACTGTCTGACATTTTATTTAATTACTATTTGATCCTCCATGTTTCTGTGAAATTTCAATTAGTCATAAGCTTTACTTTTGGGTTATTTTCACTTCTAGTATTTGACTGTTTAATGTTTGTGATATGGGCTCTAAATTATTTTTATTTTTTATTTAGTCCTTTAAATTTCGGTTAGTGCTATTTTTTGGTCCATTAACTTTCTGTTTTTGCTGTTTAGCCTCCTAAGTTTCTGTTTATATTATTTTAGCCTCTTAAATGTTTTTATATTTATTTTGGTTTGTAATATTTACTAATTTATTTTTAGACATTTATGTATGGATGTGTATTTTACTCATTACTTAATAATTTGGATTATGTAAATAATGTTTTCAATTTCATTTAATGTAAATATTTTATTTTGTATTTCCAATTACATTTATTTTCATTATATCTTTATCTATGTAAGAAATATTCGATTATATTTTCAAGAACACGTATGCGTTGAATGGGCGTGGAAAGTACCACTTGATCGAAGTGGTGTGATCCGGTACGGCATTTTAACGACATAGAAACTTGAAATAAGTCGAGTATATTTTGCTAATTAATTTGTTCAAACGATGCAATGTGTGTTATTTTAAGTGACAATTTATTTTATTTTATGTGAATGTAAATTTCAAATTTTTTAATTTGTATTCAATTCACGTTTTTAGTTAATCAATTTACTCGTATGTAAACATCGTTTTTAGTTATATTTGATTCGCAATTTTTTTTTTTACATAATCAATGGTAGAATATTCTTTTACAAAAGAGAAATAGTTGAAATAGCTTTCCCGACGGAGGATTGCAAATTTCAAGATTTCTTATCGAGTTAAAGGATTTTCTTTAAATAGTTAACTCGAAGTAAACTAATTAAATTTCAATAAATGGATCGTAATTTAACTTTATATTCGATTTATAGTTTCCACCATTTTACGACAACATGTAAGCGACACAGTACCAGTTTTTGGGCGTTGTGGGGTGCTTACCCTTCCCCGCACGTAATCGACTCCCGAATCCATTTAAATGAATCTTTGGTAACGCAGACCGAATCTTGTCTTAAAAAATGATTTTTCTTAAAATTGTTTTAAAAGACGTTTTTAGGTATTCGACCTACCTAACCCAAAGGTTGATGGCGACTCTTTTTAATTTTATTCAAATCAATGCAAAATCACCCATTTTTCCAAATTAAAGTCATAATTGTTTTTAAAAATAATATTTAATTGTTTTAAAAAAAATGGTTATGACAGCTTGGCGACTCGCTGGGGACATTTTTTTTTAGAGAGTCAAGCTGTAGGTCGCTTACACATTGTCATCTTAGTGGAGATCATAAGTTTGAGTACATAGTTAACTTATGATCCGTTTATTGAAATTTTTAATTGCTTCATTTTTAATTATCATACTAACATTTTATCTTTTTTGCTTTCAGCTCTGTCCAAGTTTTTGTCGAGTTTTTTTCTTTTCATTTTGAGTCAAAGGTAAGTATGTTCCTCCTCACACACATCACTCGCATTGGCATAACATGAGCTCTAGACACGAGCTTCGATCCAAATTAGTTAGGGTGAATGCTTTACTCTCGTAAGAATTTATTCTTCGTATGAGTTTTAGCAAATAACCCATGGGATACATACCTTATACCTTCGTAGGAATTTATTCCTCGTATGGGTATAAGGCAGTGAATCCCCTCGAATTGAACTCGGTCCGTTTGAAACCTGTAATGGGTAAGGATTGAGGGTCTGGCAGCCCAAGGGGGCACCGACATCAAGGACAATTCGAGTCCCTTTTTTCCGTTAGAGCCGAAACCAAGCATATAGTGAGCCGTCGAACGATCACCCTAGGTATAGTCATACCGAACCTTTGTTCGTCAGTAGGTACCCAAACTAGGTGTACACAAAGGAGGAGTGTTTCTAAACCCTTATCTTTTGTTTTAATTTCGTAGAATTTGTTTTCTTTCAGAATAAAGCATGCGAACTAGATACCATGCGGTTAGGACCAATTTCTTGAAATAGATCATTTTGGGTAGATAGCATGTCCGGGTAGGATTGTTATTTAATTGAAAGCATGTTTGGGTAGATATCATGACGGGGTAGGTGTTATATCCATCTCTGAATTACATTTTTATTTGTATCAATTATTTTACATGTACTAACTTATTTTTCTCTTTTGTTTGTGTATACTAACTTATTTCTTCTCTTTTGTTTGTGTCATTTTGTCATTTGCATTGCATTGCATTGCATCATCATAATGCAAAAGTGTTGATCCGTAAGGGGATATTCGAGAGAAAATTTTCACAAGAAGAGATAAAAGTTTTCAATCAAGCGATCGCATACACAGACATGCATCGAGGGCTAAAAAGAAGTCCAGAGTACAAGAATGAGATTTTCTCGAAGATCGTGCATCATTCGAGACTGATATGATAATCCACTGATCTAAGGAGTGATCCAGCAGTAGATTCTCATCCACAATTATTCCATCGTTAACCATCAGGGAGTGAAGCACAAACTTCAGCATAGCCGAGGTATTAATGGAGTTAGTTTACAGAGCATAGAGGGGCATCGGTTCCAAGTATAAAGATTCGAGACGAAGCAGTGAGCTCGAAGATCGTGCATCATTCAATACTGAGATGATGATCCACTGATTCAAGGAGTAGTCTAGCAGTGGAGTCTTATCTACAATCATTTCATCGCTAGTTATCAAAGAGCGACACACCGACCTCATTACCACCGAGGCATTAACGGAGTCAGATTACAGAGCGCTTGAGGGGCATCATTATTGAGGACGAAGATCCGAGATGAAGCAGTGATCCATTCCAGGCTCACCATCTAAGCGAAGACATGTTTGTAAATTGGATTGTCTTGTAATGTGAAAACTTTTATTTCTGGTGAAGACTATTCTATGATATTCATCGTTGGGGTCAACATTTTTCCATCTGCATTTGCATCTTTTTATGTTGCATATATATTTTATTTTTAAGCATTTTCATATGCATCATTCATAAAAACATGAGATCAATTTGTGGAGAAGTCAGTGGAAGTAATCCTGAT